GAACTCGCACTGCATAACGCTTTCGTCAACGAATATATCCGTCGTCTCCATCTTCGTTACGTTTAATGAGTCCGCTATCAGTAACTGCGTGTGGCCCTGGACAAAGACGTGCTTGACTTCATCGGGCCTGCACTGCTGCCGATCCTTGGGCAGCATCGTGAGTTTTGACACAAAATATCTGCAAAGAAGACAGACACAAACGGGAGTCAATCAAACGTGCTCGTTCCTCGCCGCCTTTTCGTTCTTTATCGTTGCCTTAACGAGGTAAGCGAGATATTTACAGGGACGATCTGCTGGACACTCGTGCTCGTTTGTATGAAAGTTGGGTAGTCAATAAAGCGCTTCTTACTAGTGATATTTCTAGCATTTTCTTTATTACGTAGCCACCTCCTACCCTCTACCTTTTCTTACTGATGTCTTATCGCTTAAACAATGCTTATTCGCGAGCGAACACCGTCGTTTGCTGTTGCACTAATTGTTGTACTAGCTCGTTTATGCGATTTTTTATAGCATAATTCACGACTACAAAATACAGCGAATTATATTCTACATTCACTTAATGCTAAGATAGATTTATCGTGTTTATGTCGTATTAATTGATAAAATGTGGGCACATCTTTACAATATTAATCTGTTATCACGTACTATATCCTATAAGTGCACAATTTTATTTTATAATTATTGCTTACAGTATATATAGAATATTGTATCGTGTACAAACCATAAATTCCTGTGACAATCTTGATTCTTTTTTGTAGTAAAAATTTGACAAGAAATACTTGTTGTAACTTTGTAATTTAGAACGTTAAATATCCTTGTAAACATGATCTAAATCAAAATTTTGTGGAATTAATTCAATTAGAATTGTGTGAAAATTATATATATGCTGGTATCCAACTATAGAAAAATTTATTTTAACCAACTTTTGGATTTTCAATTATTTATCATCCATAATATATTTAATATATAATTTACTTATTAATTCAGCTACTAGCATGATCGACAAAATATCCAATAACATAAAAACATCCCATATAATACGATCATATAAATATAACTTCATTTTCTTCGCATTTATTTTATACAATTTAATCATAACTCTATGTATATAATAAATATTATTATTAATATACTTATTAATATTCTATAATTATAATAAACTATGTGAAAGTGCTTGTCTTCTTTTTTATCTAGAAAAGGGAACAAAGAATCAATTAACTTTAATTAGTATTGATGGTAACGGCGCTTTCATAATGCGTAAAATAAATTTTATCCTTTAACACGTGTGTCTTTTATACCAATTAAGTATAACTAATAGTTTATACAGCACCAATGGTAATCTAAATTATAGATTAAAGAATATCAAGCTTAAATAATCGATTGCTATAGACAAAATAATGGAAAAGTATTATCGACATTTATATTTCTTCGACCGTAACTTTATATAGATTACATAAAATATTAAAGAACCAATATATAAACAAAATTACAATTTTAAAATTAAATGTTTTAACTCTCACAACTTTTTTTCTAACTTTTCTCTACTTTCTACAATTTCAAATAATTTAAGGGAAAAAACAGATAATTTATTTTTGAATTAAATATACGACTTTTGTTATAAAAATAAAATTTTGTTATAGAAAATCTGATAAAAAGCAGAAATGTCCAACTGCAACTAAATAGTAGCAATATACATGTTTATACTTGTTTGCAGAAAAATGTAGTTTACAATATTACATTAACAGAAAAGATACATTTATAAGACAAGTTCATGAGAATCTTTGCAAAAAAATTATTAAATATTGCCATTTACTTTATCTGCAATTTTATTTTTAAATTATGAATAATTTCTGCGACTAATTCTAAATATTTTTAAGCATCTTCATACTTACATTTCACATTTATATAATTAACATTACGAGTTCTCATTAATTCTACCCTGTCTTTCTATATCAGTTCTATATTAATCAAAGGCACCTGAATTCAGTTTTATGTTTACATTAAATAGAATATTAATTGCTGTATTTATTTTATATACTAGTAAATTATCAACGGTTTAACATAATTAAAAATTTAATCTCATTTACAAAGTACAAAAATAATTAGTAATTTATTATTTTTTTCCAACATATTGTTTTATTTAATTTTATTTAGTTTAGCTTTTCACATATAATGAATAAAAAAATTTAGAAAATTTATGACTTTTAGGCACTTTTTTTGCATTTGATTGTGGCGCAGGTACTTTGCTTACTCGAAACTAAATGATATACATTAACTTTATATATAGAATAGAAATTCCGCGTTCCACATTCATTAATATATTAACATTATTCTAAATATTTTGTATAATGTACAAACAATATCACAGTGATGACAACATTTATGATTATAGAATATAACTGTTAACTTGTTTTTATCGTGACTTTAATTCAATTATTAAATATATGTTATCCGAAACTATATAAAGTTTAGATCATGTTAGATGTGTTTATAAAAAATTAATTTACGTATTTCAATGCACTTGTCATATTATATCTAGTTACTTATTATACTACGATAGTAACTCGAGTAATAGTAATTTTAGGCACTTAGACATCAACACTCTAATACAATTTTTATAAAAAGCGACCAATTTCAAACAGAAATTATTATTTTAATTGAAACATGTTTAATTTCGCAAAAAACTTATACTTTTAAAAAGTTACATATAGTCACCAGTTTAGCAATCATTAGAATTTGTTTTAAATACACAAATATTATTTTATTTTTATAAATCTTTTCCTTTTTCAAAAAATCTTTTTATTGTATTAGATCTAATATCAAGTGTAAGTTTATATATATATATATAATTAAAATTAATTTTTATAAGTTTTATTATATAAAATAAATTTTACAGTGTTGTCTTTTAGAGTGTTGATGAAAAATTAAGCTTTGAGATCAAACAAGATTCTTGATATCGTTTTTTTTTTTCAATTTATTATTTTTTTCCAACATATTGTTTTATTTAATTTTATTTAGTTTAGCTTTTCACATATAATGAATAAAAAAATTTAGAAAATTTATGACTTTTAGGCACTTTTTTTGCATTTGATTGTGGCGCAGGTACTTTACTTACTCGAAACTAAATGATATACATTAACTTTATATATAGAATAGAAATTCCGCGTTCCACATTCATTAATATATTAACATTATTCTAAATATTTTGTATAATGTACAAACAATATCACAGTGATGACAACATTTATGATTATAGAATATAACTGTTAACTTGTTTTTATCGTGACTTTAATTCAATTATTAAATATATGTTATCCGAAACTATATAAAGTTTAGATCATGTTAGATGTGTTTATAAAAAATTAATTTACGTATTTCAATGCACTTGTCATATTATATCTAGTTACTTATTATACTACGATAGTAACTCGAGTAATAGTAATTTTAGGCACTTAGACATCAACACTCTAATACAATTTTTATAAAAAGCGACCAATTTCAAACAGAAATTATTATTTTAATTGAAACATGTTTAATTTCGCAAAAAACTTATACTTTTAAAAAGTTACATATAGTCACCAGTTTAGCAATCATTAGAATTTGTTTTAAATACACAAATATTATTTTATTTTTATAAATCTTTTCCTTTTTCAAAAAATCTTTTTATTGTATTAGATTTAATATCAAGTGTAAGTTTATATTAGCAATATACATGTTTATACTTGTTTGCAGAAAAATGTAGTTTACAATATTACATTAACAGAAAAGATACATTTATAAGACAAGTTCATGAGAATCTTTGCAAAAAAATTATTAAATATTGCCATTTACTTTATCTGCAATTTTATTTTTAAATTATGAATAATTTCTGCGACTAATTCTAAATATTTTTAAGCATCTTCATACTTACATTTCACATTTATATAATTAACATTACGAGTTCTCATTAATTCTACCCTGTCTTTCTATATTAGTTCTATATTAATCAAAGGCACCTGAATTCAGTTTTATGTTTACATTAAATAGAATATTAATTGCTGTATTTATTTTATATACTAGTAAATTATCAACGGTTTAACATAATTAAAAATTTAATCTCATTTACAAAGTACAAAAATAATTAGTAATTTATTATTTTTTTCCAACATATTGTTTTATTTAATTTTATTTAGTTTAGCTTTTCACATATAATGAATAAAAAAATTTAGAAAATTTATGACTTTTAGGCACTTTTTTTGCATTTGATTGTGGCGCAGGTACTTTACTTACTCGAAACTAAATGATATACATTAACTTTATATATAGAATAGAAATTCCGCGTTCCACATTCATTAATATATTAACATTATTCTAAATATTTTGTATAATGTACAAACAATATCACAGTGATGACAACATTTATGATTATAGAATATAACTGTTAACTTGTTTTTATCGTGACTTTAATTCAATTATTAAATATATGTTATCCGAAACTATATAAAGTTTAGATCATGTTAGATGTGTTTATAAAAAATTAATTTACGTATTTCAATGCACTTGTCATATTATATCTAGTTACTTATTATACTACGATAGTAACTCGAGTAATAGTAATTTTAGGCACTTAGACATCAACACTCTAATACAATTTTTATAAAAAGCGACCAATTTCAAACAGAAATTATTATTTTAATTGAAACATGTTTAATTTCGCAAAAAACTTATACTTTTAAAAAGTTACATATAGTCACCAGTTTAGCAATCATTAGAATTTGTTTTAAATACACAAATATTATTTTATTTTTATAAATCTTTTCCTTTTTCAAAAAATCTTTTTATTGTATTAGATCTAATATCAAGTGTAAGTTTATATATATATATATAATTAAAATTAATTTTTATAAGTTTTATTATATAAAATAAATTTTACAGTGTTGTCTTTTAGAGTGTTGATGAAAAATTAAGCTTTGAGATCAAACAAGATTCTTGATATCGTTTTTTTTTTCTTTTTCTTAGAATGTTTACCATCGAAAGTTGCGTCTTGAATTTAATCGCGCACAGTAACAGATCTCGTTATACTGATCAATTGACAAATCTCAGTGCTTCTTCATATGATTAAGCATAATCGTTCGCGTGACAAATCCTTTTCCGCACAGCGTACAGGTGTACGGGCGTTCTCCCGTGTGATACCGACGATGTACAGTGAGTGTCGATGCCTGCGTAAACGATTTGCCGCACATGGCACAGAGATACGGCCTCTCGCCGGTATGGATGCGTTGATGGACCACGTAATACTTGCGATGCGTGAAGCCCTTGCCGCATACATCGCAGACCAGCGGTCTCGACCTGTGCACCGCCTTATGCGTGGTCAGGGACTCGGCAGTAGTGAATTGCTTGGAGCACGAGTCGCAGGGATAAGAAGTCATGGACTTTGCGGGGATTACGGGACTGCCAAGATTGCCTATTACGGGATCGACGACGGACGATACCGCGTTTGTACCGATGATCCTACCGTCGTTGTTACTCGCCGGCAGCGGTCGATGTGTTTTCGCGTGATGATTGTACAAGTTGCGCGTCTCGAAGCGCATCAAGCATCTCGGACAGGAGTAAGGTTTCTCCTGACCGATCTCCTGATGCATCCTCCGATGACGTTCCAACAGTGTGCGATATCGAAAACTGGCCTGGCAGAGATCGCAGGCGAACGTTTTCTCCATATTATTACCGGTCGACGCAAGATTGGCAGAGGTCGACGCGCACGAGGTGACGGAGGACGCGGAATGCGTAACCTCGTGCATTTTCAGATGGCTCAAGGCAACGAAAGTCCGCGAGCAGACGGCGCAGGAGTACCTCGGCTGATTCTCGATATTGTGCTCGAACTCTGGGCGCGCAACGTGACTCGTTCGCATGTGATAGTTTAGCTTAAGAGCGCTTCGAAACTCTAGACCACACGTGGGACACGGATAGGATTCGGTGAGGATCTGTACCTGATCGAGCAGGGACTGTTCTGGGCACATGGACTGAAAATGCGGGGGAAGTAATGTCGACGATAGCATCGACGATTGGTTTGAGAATATGGAGTTGGTCTGCAGAAGATTACAATTGACGGATATGCCGACCTCCCCGATCTCGGGCGAGGGCGAGAGAATCTGACGCAGCATCCCTGACAATCCGCCAAAGGTCTCGCCTCCTTCCCTGAAATTGACAAAACCCAAGGACATTGCAACGGAGAACGACACCCGTGGGCGCACACACAATTTTGTCTTTTGAGATTCTGCTCTTTGTGATTATTACAATATATCTTGCATACAGGCGGTGAGATAAGAGAAAGAAAAAGAGACAGGACAGAAAGATAGATCTTATGCTTATGTGAGTGCTGCAATGTGGCCGGTGCAAGGTGCTTGGGCATTGCTGATATCCCTCGAGATGCAGCGATAATGATGTGTTTACAAGAGCGTACGTGCGAATCGAGAAAGTCGTCGTGATTTGTCGTCAAGTCAAACAGCTTTGGAAGTTTCATCACTCATTATATATAATAATATCCATCAAGAGCTTTCCGAATTTTTATATAAAAGTCTTATATAATATTTAACTACTATTATAGATGAATAATATATAGAGAATATACTTGTAAGCATATTATCTCTTACTAGTTTTATATTCATTAATAATTAATATACCGTTAGAATTATAAATAATTAGAGAAATAGTATACATGTGTATAACATAAAAACTGTATATTAGGTATTTCCTAACGATAGCAGAAAGAAAAAGTAAAGATTAAGCCATAAAACTTGGCAAAAGAGTTCGAGAAAAGCAAATTTTTACTTAAGAAATTCACTCTGAGACTGAAATAGAAAATATTAAAACGCAAATAAATTAGTTACAGAAAAATCTCACCTTTATAATTAATCCGTTACGGTGAGAGAGGCATCTTCTTCTCATTTGCACAGAATAAAACAGCGTATGACTTTTTACACATACACACATATATACTTACATTCAACACATTAAGTGTTTAATATATCACAGAATGTTATATTACATAGAATGAATTAAAAATGCAGTTAAACGCTGCAAATAAAAGATGAGGAAGAAAATCAAATATATTATTCAGTACTTTACAGCAAAAAATGACAACTTATAAAAGCTTGATGTGATAAAAATATAAGTGAAAAGTGTTATGCGGCATCAAACTTTCATATGTCAGATATTTACTATACTCAGAACTGAATAGTACGATTTTCTTCACAAAGATTAAAAAACCCATTATATAAAATGACATATTCAGAATATGTCCAGAAAAGTATCAAATATTGCAGCCAATTCAAAAGGCGCATAGAAATATTTAATAAACTATATATATTCCCGCGTATAAAATTTTATTTCGAACGCGAAAAAACCGGCGCAACTATAGAGTGCAAGCCTGGCCATTAAAAAAAAAAAAAAACCTTCCATATTCATAATCGCGGTGTAATCTTTCTCGCACTTATGTGGAAGCGCGCGAAACAATAAGCGCATTCCATACAATGTGCCTGATAAAATCTATAATTCATATAATAGCTTTGCATCTCGAGATGCGCAAAAAAAATTCGTTCAACACTAAAATAGCATTGCTTAAACTCATCGCGAACAACGAGATGCAAATTCGCGTACCGATGCTACTGTTACAAGTGCACAATGTTTCATTTTGCATATAAGAAACACACAAAAATCCATGTATAAAATACAGAATGTAAAATGTACAAAAAAGAATGATACTCGCCTTTGTATAATCCTCTTGACTCGACGCAGTCTCTTAACGGATGATTTTTTTTTTCTTTCATTTCGCAGAATCTTCTAATTGGAAAACTTATGATCCTTGATCTTCTTCAACATTGAGGTTCATTCTTAACCGATTATCTTATCGGTTATAACTACACTATTTCGCAATTACTTTATCGTTCGAAGATTGTATACCGGACACACGCAAAATTTTACTAACGATCTCGTGGGATGCGTATTTTTATGTTGATTAAACGGACGGTAACTCTTAAGATTAATCGCAACACTAATATATAATAATACAGAGTCCTGGCAATATCGTAAAGCGCAGGCATCGGAAAGCACGAAGATATAAATCAGAAATGGTAGGTAGGTAGGTATACGTTGCATCAATTGAAATATCTATCGTCTGTGATTTTTGAATTGGCCGAATATCGGTCATTTAGTGCGGCATTTAGTGCCATCACGTAAGCGTGGGAATATTAATATCGACAACATGTAAACATTTGATTTCTTGGTGGACAGAGAGATTAAACTGATTCCCCATAAATAGTTACTGCTGTGAGAACAAGGAAATAATTTTTTTTTTCGCATGACGTGTGTGTATATATATATATATA